TGATGCTCTTCTAATTCAAAATTTCTTACAATTTTTTTTTTTTTTGGTTTTTGGTCAAAATTCCATTAGAAATGAAAAAATTTCCAACCATAGCTGAAAATATGAAGGAAGAGAACAGAATTTTATAAAGTTTTAATATATTGCAGTAATCAGAATTATCAGGTCCTAGACAAATGTCAGCAGGAGCCCTATATAATGTTAGCTCGGCAAATGTGCCCATGGATGTGCGCGACTTGTTGCATGACTAAGGAATATAACTGTGAAAATGGTAAAGTTTCAATAAATTTATTATTTTAAAATATTTGATAATATCTATTCATTTAATATTTATATAAACTTATGTAAAATAGTCTAATAAATTTATACTTATTAAAAATACATTTTTTAAAAATTCCCTTTTATTTCGCTTCAATCCATTAAATAGTTCATCAAAATTTAAAACTAATTCATTACCACTTAGTATTTTTTTTGCATTTATATTTTGCTACACCGGAAATTGTTATCGTGGAAGCTACGGTCATAAAAGGTGTAAAGATTATTAAAATATTTGACTTGACTAAGGAATCGTTTAAAAAAATATCAATGATTTCAAAAAAAAAATTTTGAATTAGAATTAGAATTTTGTTCTAAGCGAACATTACGAAACTCAATTTGCACAAATAATCCTCTTTTTATATTTTTATATTATAAAACAAAATAATGCCATTTAAAAAAATGCTTATTGTATAATGACGAGGAAGAGAGGAAGATTTGTGTTGTGTCCTCCATTAATCTCAATTTCAGTTGGAGGTCGGGACGGTGCATGCAGAAATTTTTCGAGGGCAATGTGCAGTCAATTTCCAAGCATTGCATTACGACTTTGCCCGCAAACTTGTGGCCTTTGTCATTTACCTGGTGCTGCAAACATGTGTCCCGACACCATCGACGGCTGCGATGTTTTGGTGGGATTGGGTATTTGTTTTGACAATCGATTCAAGAATTTGTGCCAGAGGTCATGCTTCTCACGAGACTGCCTTACAAATCAAACAAGTGGGTTACTAATTACTATCGATTTTAATAGGTCAAAAAAGGCGTTGGTACTGGTTATTAATCGATATTATGAATGTCACTGTATAACGTATCATAATCTAAGAATAATTTGCATATTTCATGGTCGTGCATGTGATAAGTTCCTCGCAATAATCGAATAATCGGACCTTAGGGGAATCACTAAATCTTCCACTCCCATAATTATGTGAAAATTGTTAGAACAATTCTATTTATTGCAGTATCGCGGGGAAGCTGTCGTGACGACCATACCGACTGTCCAAGGCACCGCAATCTTTGCAATGTTGGCGATTATGGAGTTGTCATGCGCGTTAAATGCCGGTTGACTTGTGGTTTGTGTCGATAGACTGGAAGAAACATTTTTTTTTCCTTCGAATGAATATTTTAGGTTGAAGTCCCATGCTTTATTTCGTTGCATTATATTTCCTTTCTTTATTTAATAATTCCCTTTCTCTGAGACCAATAATTTCCTTCTATTATGTTAAATATAACCAAAAATAAATTATGCAGAATTTTGCATTATTAATGGAATTTATTGGTTATAAACAGCATTTATATTTGCCTTAGGCGAAAAACAGAAATGGCGGCATCGGAAAACTAATAAAAAGCGAAGTTTGTAGATAATTTATAAAAAAATTGGAGGAGAAAATTTATTTGAATTTTCAAATTCGAAAAATGTTCTAATTTTTGCGAGTTTTCTCCTGCACAGATATTTTGTGTTTTTTAAGCCAAAAGTTTTAAAAAAAACCCATTAAGTCCGATTTCTCACTTTAGAACCATCGGATTTGCTTGTTTGCCACAGTTATCCAATATAATGTAAAAGCCAAACCCAGCGATATGTCAGCGATAGATTGTCGTGTTTTTCGTGATGCTTTAAATTCTTAAATAGTTGGTGAATATACTTCCCATAAGGATTAAATGGCTAAATATGCATGAGAGCGAAAGGAAACCACCTTTCTCATCTCAGAGTGAAGCACTGAAGTTAAATTTTATTTTATGCTAAGAGAGACTGATATAAGGTATCAGTCTAAATGATAACTGATTAATACGGTAGAGATTTGGATGGAGCCAGTGAAAAATTTTGCCACTGAATAAACACTCATTAATGCATTTATATAGGGAAAATAAAAAGAGCAAATAAAGAGAAAATGAGTGGGGAAAATGAGAAAGGGAAAATCGGATTAATAAGAAAGCTGCTTTTAAGAAACAAAGAGCCCAGTCGTTGTCGTGCCGAGCCATCAAACCTTCTCAATTGATTAAAATGCAGTTGGTGAGAATGGCCATGGAGGTGAAAATGGCATTTCTCGAATTTTTAATATTTTATCACTTATCAATTATCATCCGCAGTTTCTTTCAGATTTTAAAATCGTTATTTTTTGCACGCTATGCACTATTTTCACTTTGGTGCTTTGAATAAATTGAATAAATGCACCATTCAATTGTAATTTATACAAATAAAAATGCAACAAATAAAATTTTTCCGGTGAACCAATTCGACAACCAACATCGTTTATGAATGAACTTCATTAAAGGAAATGATTATCAAACACGAATGTATTTGTTTAAGTTTTATGACGTTAGTAAATTGCGTTGAATTACAAAGATTATATCTTTGATAATTTCGTGTATCATTTTCAATTTTTACAAAGGAAAAAAAGGAAGGAAACATGAACTCCTTGGAGTATTGTTCCTGTTCATGTTTAGGATTTATTTCTACTATTTCCATTCTATTGATTTCCATTCACAGTTATTCTCCGATTTTAGATCAGAATTTTCATTACTTTACAAGCGAAAAAATCATTTTTCAAAATATACTGTTTCCTTAAGGAATTATAAGAAATTAAAAGCGCACTAAATTAAATTTTAAATGGAATTTTCCATTGTCGGATAATTATTATCATTATTTGCTGCGTATCAATCGACCAGAACTGAATATAGGGGGAAAAATTTTCGAAAAATATTTCACCAGCTGTCGACTTCACTAATAATTCATTTTTTTGGCTTACTGTAATAAGAAAAACAAATAAGAATTGAATATAAAAAGCAAAATTTATAGAATATAAATTATTTGACTTTACCATGACCATAATCGCTTATTTAATTATTCTTACATCGTTCTGCAATCTTATTAGCGGAGATGAAGTTGATTTAAACGTTTGCGTCAAGTTTGTTCCCACTGGTCCAAATCCTCCGAATAATATGAAAAGAAGGCCTTCCGTGCCTGTGCAGAACTGCCAAGATCGTGATATGGCTTGTCCCGAGATATTCAAATTCATGCCCAACAATGGAGTGGTACTCGCAAATAATCTCAAGCCGTTAGTTTCTGAGCATTACTTTAGATTTTATTTTCATTTCAATATCGATCAATTATGATGATGAATTCATAGTTTCATTATCAGTAGAACCATCGATGGACAGTTTGCTGAATTTTTATAATTATCGGAGACAAGAAAAATTGATTTGTTAATCTAATTGATCCTAATGGTGTATAAAAATATTTTTCAGAATTTTTTTTTTAAATCTTGAAATTTTTCATATTTTCTTACCGCATTGAACAAAAAGAGAGAATGACAATGCCTTTCAGCTTTACCATGACCATAATCGCTTATTTAATTATTCTTACATCGTTCTGCAATCTTATTAGCGGAGATGAAGTTGATTTAAACGTTTGCGTCAAGTTTGTTCCCACTGGTCCAAATCCTCCGAATAATATGAAAAGAAGGCCGTCCGTGCCTGTGCAGAACTGCCAAGATCGTGATATGGCTTGTCCCGAGATATTCAAGTTCGCGCAAGACGTTGGAGTGAGGCTCGCAAATAATCTCAAGCCGTTAGTTTCTGAGCATTACTTTAGATTTTATTTTCATTTCAATATCGATCAATTATGATGATGAATTCATAGTTTCATTATCAGTAGAACCATCGATGGACAGTTTGCTGAATTTTTATAATTATCGGAGACAAGAAAAATTGATTTGTTAATCTAATTGATCCTAATGGTGTATAAAAATATTTTTCAGAATTTTTTTTTTAAATCTTGAAATTTTTCATATTTTCTTACCGCATTGAACAAAAAGAGAGAATGACAATGCCTTTCAGGGATGAGGATTATAAAGTTCCAGAAAATTGTCAGAAAGATGCTTATAAAATGTTAGCTCGACAAATATGCCCACAAACATGCGCGACGTGTTGCTTAACTAAAGAATACAACTGCCAAAATAGTAAGGGCTGAGCAATTCTTATTGCTGCAATCCAAGTTTAATACTATAATAATAATCTGGAAAAAATTTTGAAAAACAGTTTAAAAAAGGCTGTCAAATGTTTTTTAACAAATCGAACTATC